GGAGAAAACCCTAGCCGTGTTGTTCAGAGACCTTTGAGTGGAATATCTCCTTGTTTCTTCGCTTTAGCCATCCTTTTATCGATCCAGGCTTCCTGACAAGTCCGTGGGTTTCCGAATCCGAATCTTGGATTTGCAGATTGTACGAGAGTGCCAAGGAGTTATGTCAAATTTCTTTTATACACAAACTTTGTATGGATGCTTCATCTGTTCATCATCAAATTACTCGAAGAACAATTCTTCTATCATTCTGATATTGATGTGAGAGCTGGAGTCGCTGCCTGCATCAATGAGATGATAGGAATATATCCTAAACTTCCTTTTGATGATGAACAGATGAAGGTTTATCATGTTAATTGTACTTATTCTTGAAGAAATGTGCATATATTGCTCCTTGAATGACTCTTTTACTTGTATCCCATTGGCAGGACATCATATTCAAGTTAACTGTATCATCATTTGAAGATCTAGAGGACAGCACTGTTTGCATGATCAAAAAACACTCCTATCTCAAAAGCAAGGATATACCTCCAAAGATGCTTTCACCAATTCTACATTATCTTCGAAATGCTTAGAAGGTTTGTGTCGTTGGACATTTCTTCTGAGAATGAGGAGGAAACTAGTTTGCCTAAGAAGAACTCAACGAAGGAGGCCAAACCATATGCTCTGCCAATATTACAGAAGAAGCTTCTGAAGCTAAAGGACCAACGGTTGCAGAAAATAATCTCACGTTTCGAAAGCTTTAGATTTAATATTTCTGTGTGAATTTTAAGTTATTTAATTAAGTTTGTATAAAAAAATAAAAATTCTAGTGGTTATTCTCAGACATTTTAAAATTTCTATCTAGAGATCTTTCATTTCTGATAAATCTTGGTGTATTCAATATTATGATGTGTTATTTATGGTTAGTGTCATCGTGTACCTTTTTAATTTTTTTAAGTGTTGTTTGAATTGGAATTCTTATTAAATAATCTCATGAGAAATTAAATTTGAACTTTTAAAGAAATTATTGCATAAAAACTATAAAATTCTCTCTTGTTTCTTGCTCTCAAAAGCGACCGACTCCTAACCTTTCAACTTGTGGGAAACTAGTTAACTATTTTCAACTTGTCTTCATCAGATTGTTAATTCGTTTTATTTTCCAACCAGCAAGCAGGATAAAGCTGAGTACGGAAAGAAGCAAGACGCGAAAGATGAGCCTCAACAAGTTGATAAACTTAGCAAAACTGACTTTATGATGCTGAAAACCAAATTGAAGGACAAAGGGAAACAAGCCCAGTTGTGTGGATTCATCAAAAGCTTTAGAAAACATCAAAGAGACAGCTTAACAAGTGAAATGAAAGGATAACAAGCAAAACAAGAAAATGTAATTGAAGAGTTTCTTTTTTTTTTTTTTACCAATCCATCTTTTCCTCGCACGGGGAACCATTTCAATATCAAGATTCAATGTAACCACCATTCTCTCCGAATTTCTATGGCTATCTTGATCTGTCACTCTCCCAAAAACAACCTGCTTCAGCTCCATAACGACCTGACTCATCGTCCGTCTCCTTGCAGAACTTTCAGAGGCACATGCCAATGCTATTTCAGTGATCTTCCAAGCTGAGCCTGCCTCAAATCTGCCTCCTAGACGCTAATCCACAATGTCTTTTATGTCTCCACTGGCCAACATCAAACCAACCTGATCACTTAGATGCACACTCTCTGTTCTCGAACACGAAATCGCCGGTTTTCCTGTTATCACTTCAAGAAGAACCACCCCGAAACTGTTAACATCACTCTTCTCGTTCATTTGTCGCGTTATATAGTACCTGAATTTACACAACAAAAAGGATTTGAAACACGAGAACTAGTACTGTTATAGGGTAATTTTACATTTAATCGCATTCAAGAGTTTAGATTCAAAGAGAAAGTTTTAATTACTCAGGGTCTAATTAACCAATGGTTCCAGCGACAACGGTCGAAACCTGACCGTTACCTTCGACTGGGAAGCTTCTAGATAACCCGAAGTCTGCTTGAATCTTTTCGGTAAGTAAGATGTTTGTTGGTTTCACATCTCTGTGAACTATTGGTAGGCTTGCGTACTTTGAAGAAAAGATCTCGTTTTTCTAAAACTGACTTCACAAACCTTGTGCTGCATCTATTGATATTTTTAGTCTCTCTTCCCAGCTCAAGAACAAGGAACTTTTGCCTTTATAAACAGAAAAACAAAACAAAGCTTAATTAGTTTAATTGCTTCTGTTCATACGAAAGAGATGTGAATATCCAAAGACTAACCTGACAAGTAGTCTCCTAAGTTGCCATTAGCCATGTACTCATAGATAAGCGCCATGTGGTTATCTTCGTTGCAGTATCCGATAAGAGATGTCAAATTTGTGTGATGGACTCTCATCAGAAGCTCGACCTGAGAGAATATAGATTAGTTTGGAAAGCATACATTATTTTGGAACTATTTTAAATTAGAAAGAAACTGATAAAAGTAATTAGAGAATGACCTCTGCTCTAAACTCTTTGTAACCTTGAGCTGACCCTTCGGAAAGTATCTTGACGGCTACTTGATCTCAATTCAATAAACCATGGTATACTTTACTAAAACCTCCTTTGCCAAGAACTCTCTCGAAGTTGTTTGTGACATTCACAACTTCTGAGTATTTAAAGTATCTCTTCGCTGTGTCCAATGGCCCGGTGTTGACACCATTAGTAGACAGTTTGTTTGAGATTGCACGTCTTTGCGATCTTCTCTTGAAATGCCAGAATAAAGCTAGTGCGGTCAAAAGAACGAGCAGTCCTGCGACTGATGCAACTAATGGAACGATGTAACCAATATTCTTCTTCTTCTTTGTTGATTGACATGAAGAAGACTGACAAAGGTATGGGTTTCCACCAAATCTTAAGATTACAACAAAGAAACTTCAGTCTGTATCTTTTAGAACGAGAACCATTTCAAATAATTTCACATAGCAACATCTCTAAGAAAAAGAAAAAAGACCTATCCTTTCTAGATTTCAATACGAAAACAATAAAACGATATGTGGCATGTTAGAGAGCTTATCGAGTTGCATACCTTAGCGAAAGAGAACCATCTTTTGATTTCTCCAACAGTTTAGCTGGAACTGATCCAGTTAACTTGTTTCCTTCCAAGTTTCTACAGATATAAACACACAACCCAGTATAAATTCCCAAGTCACAGAACGCTACTGCTTTACAAATCTCACCAGTCACCACTATTATATAGTTTGCACAACTCACAATTCAGTCAAATTTAACAAATTGGCGAGGAAATCAGGTACTTTCCCGCTAAGCTGTTGTTTGATAAGTCCCTGTAATGATATTTCCTTGTGTCAGAAAGTCACAAGTCTGTATACTTATAAAATGCATCACTGATGATTACAAAGAGACCAGAAATACCAACAATATTTGTTTATTAAAGTTAGGTTGGCGAAAGCTTGATCGATCTGGCCAGTTAATTCACTGGAGGATAGGTTCCTGCAAATCACAACGAGACATGTAAGAGCAGAGCAAAACATAGCAGACTGGAACAGACCAATTGTCAATTTTAAAAATCCTTAAAGAGAAATGAGTCTCGCAGAAGTATTGTTATCATTGTGGAGACATTCAAGACCTTCCCAAGAATAGTCCACTGGAACACATGGATCTCCTTGCCAATTCTTCTTCACTCCATACTTGAACTTAATCTTCGTCATGGCATCGACTAAGACGAGAGAAAAACAAAATCAAATATAAAGTAGAGAAGAGGTAATCTTTTGAGATAGAAAGCCTTACCATCTTGTTGATCTGTTGGTAACTGGAGGAACTCATTGATTTGATAGATCTCGATAGCGTTGATGATCGGTGGAAGAGTTGACACACTAGTTTTCTGAATGACAATTTCATTCTTTGTTCTGCCAACTGGCTCTGCAGTGGAGCGTGTGTCTGTAAACAAATAAAAAGGTCGGAAATTCTCGGTAAGTAAATCTCCGTTCACGTATATATATCGAATTCCCATGTCTCATTTCTTCGTAGCTCTTGAACTTCAGCAAAATGCATGTATACATAAAACTTCGATCTCGGGTCATCTGGTGCCCAGGTAATAGTCAACGGATTGCTCTCATTTCCCGGTGATATAGCAGATCCCATAATCGCAGGTCTGAATCCGTGTGGTTAGTTTCATCGATGGTGAGAGACGTATTCAAACTTTTCTGGTTCAGAGACTTGTAAGGCATCCATATGCGATCATAGAAATCATCTTTGTACCTAAATATGATAACATTTAGTAGCGGAAAATAACGATGACACAAGGAATAAGAGATATTCACCTGACTCGAAGATTGCTCGTTGCGCCGAAATCCCATCTCCGACCAAGCATAAGGGCTTGATAAGGAGTGTCATATGTATCGTTCTTCAAAAACCTTATTTCCAAGACAGACAGAAATGGAGTTCCTCTGTAGATGATCTCTTTGGTGACTATAGCTATTTCATTGACAAGAATAACAGGTTCCCAGAGATTGGCTCCAATATAAAGATCAAACTCAGGTGTTTTACTAAAACCATCGTAGTTCCCGTACATGAAACGGGTTCTGATCAGATACTTGAAACCTTTCCCTTGTTGAGGCCTTATGTCGTAACAGTTTCTCTTACCTTCAGGGAAGCTTCTAACGTTTTGGAACTGTCTTTCGAGAGAAGTCGTTTCAAGGTTGGAACCTATGCTATGGCTTATTCCAGACTCAACAAAACCCAAATCTGAAACATATTTCATGTTTGTTTTCCCATCACTGTAGCTTGAATAATCCGGTATAACGCAATCGATACTAACAAAACCTGTATAAAAATCACATACATTAACAGCGACCATTTATAGAAGAGTTTAGAAAAGCAGAGACTCCTGAGTACCAACTTACCAGATTGGTCTTGAGCCCGAGCAAAAACGAGAATAACACAGCTTGTGATTGAAATCCATGAAACGAGGAAACAAGGCACTCCCGACACGACCAGAACAGAAGGGAATAACTCGCGACTCCCTTTACCAAATCAAGGTCTGAAACTTGATCTGGAAACTAGACACCAAGAGCTTCGCAACGGTGTATAGAACGTCTCCTAACTCCAAACATATCGACAGTAAAACAGTCCGCAATCTCGCTAATCGAAACTGGAAAAACAGAGATTTCAGAAACAACACCCTGAAATCAAACGAACACAGAGAACGGAGATTACCTCCAAATCAGGATCCGAAACCTAATACAAAAACTATACAGAGAGAGCTTTTCAACGGCATAAGGGTCGTCTCCTGATTCTCTCTGGTTCGACGGGAATCCTCCCTCGAAGTGGACTGATCGCAGACTCGAGACTGCAGAAACCTCACACAATCCAACGGCCATAACTCAGCGAATACTCATCCAAAAGGCACGCGGTTTTCACCCACATCAAGAGCAAAGATAGGAGAACTTGCCCTCAAAGTTTCACTCTGATCTGATCCGATCTTCCCCGCCAATCATCTCCTCCAAAAACCCGAGCAGAACTGTTTCTCTCTCAAGAAAAACACTTCTCTCACAAAACTCTCTAAAACTCTTTCTCTGATCAAATTCTCGGCCAACCCCAAGAGAAAACGCTTTTCTCTGCTTAAATACGGAACCCTAGGTTCCCTAAACCAACCCAAACCAAACCCGATCAGAAATCAAAACCACACGGTCCAATTTAAGCATGTGTTGCTTGACACAAACCTCTTGTGTCGCGCGACACAGCTCCAGCAAACAGATTCCTTCGCGAATTAAACACACGTGTCAATCGACACACAACCAAAAATCACATTTTTGGTTCACGGGCGTTA